AAATAAACTTTGTAAATACAGAGAAATAACGTTTCCTATGAAGTTATCATGTTGATATTGTTAAGTTGTCAAGACCAACATGTTAAAGGATCATCATATAGCCATTAATATTCTTGGAGCTGTTTCAGTCTAATATTAGTAGTCATAGTGAACAGTGAGGTTTAAGGATTTCCATTGATCATGATGGCAAATGTTGTAGTTTAGATTGAATCATAAGGTTAGACAAGTCATTAAATCCAAAGAAAAGGCTGCTGGATAGAATGCTGTTAGGTGTTGATTTTGGAAAGCAAAGTTTATTTTTTATGAATGATCTAAGCTTAGTAAAAAGTGAACTACATTCATTATTAGAAAGTACTATGAGTTTAGCTCTGTATTCTAATTAGGGAATAAGAACTATGTTATATATATATTTGAGTTGTTTATCAGTTAAAGGTTTGTATTTCAATTTAAGTATAAAATTAGATATCCCATTTGCCAGTTATTGTTTAATGAAATTTTATTATAAGAGGCAGATATCCAAACACCCAGATATCTTGTTGATTCAGAAGGCTTTCTTGTTGGGAAAATAACATGTGTGTTGAGGTAATTACTATAAATAGAAATGTTAACTGTTGTGGATTCAGATGTAATGATAAAAGATTTATCATAGTTCACTTTCATAGAATTGAAGTCGAAAAAGATTGAGCTAAGTCAAAATCAGTATGAGTTTTTCAATACTATTAGAAATCCAAATCATATCATCCATATATGCTGAATTAGGGATTGAGACAGACACTTCATTAAGTTCATTTTCAGTTATGTTTGGTTTCATTTAATACTCATGTTATATCTATAATTTAGTTGTTGAATTCTCGATAGTAGAGGATCATAATAAATAACTTATAAAGTGGAATATCATTTCACCTTGGTCAATGCCAACTATCACGTTATAAGGATCAGTATTACCATATGCTATGAAGACTGAATTAAGGAAGAGATTGGTGATTATATTAATAAAAGAGAAAGGGATACGCAAACATGCTATAGCCTTCCTGAGCATAAAAATATTAACACGATCATAAGCTTTAGACATATCTTGAAAGAGCATATATAAATAGTTTTGGTTATGATGTTCTAATTTTTTGTTAAAGCGATAAAATTCAAGAATATTATTAACAATATGAAGTAGTTCGAGGGTTGATTGATAAGATAGACCTGCGAAATTAAGACCTTTGATAATATTATGTTTGATAAATGTATCTTGTAAACGTTGATTTAAAAGTTTGACAAATGCTTTTCTGACAGTATCTAATAGGGTGATTGGTCTGGTATTATCGAGTTTACAGTTCCATGATTTTGGTTTAAGGATAGGATATATGTATGCTAAATTCCATTGAGAGGTGTATATGAACTAATCAAATAATCACAAATAATATTATACAGAAAGTTTTTCATTTTAGGGCTAAGCTTTTTTAACATTTTATTAGAAATCTGTGAGGGACCAGCAGCTTTGTGATCAGAAAGGTGTTGAATAATATTATGCCATTCATCAATTGAACAGATTGTTATTAATTCATTATAGATGTTACTATCAATATTCTCAATTGGATTATAAAATGGTTGCCAAACATTCCAGTTGGGATTGAAATTAGAGGTCATGTTGTCAGTTACTTTTCTGTTATGAAAGTCTGCTACTGTTTGAAAATGGTTAGCCATATGTTTCTTGATATTATCTAGTGATAATTCTAAATATTGGTCAGTAGAATCTTTATTGATTAGAAGACAATCTATTATGATGGCTTTTCTGTTTCTTTTCAGATATAAATTAATTATTTTAGTTAGAGCATCTTTCGTTATCATTTCTTTGTTTGATAAATTGTAGTATACGTTTGTTATTTTCTTGTTTAGATACAATCTGTTATTTTACTTGAATGGTCTTGATGATATCATGTTTTAGTTTGTTCATATATAGGATTACCCTCTTATTGTCAAAATGGTTATCAATTGAAGCGGTTGACAATAAATATTGTCCAGCTATCTTTAGAAGGTTCTGGTGTTCAGTACTTGTGAGCAAAAAAATTGAAGGGTTGTTGTTAAGATTAATGTCAAGGGATTTTTTCAATTTGTAATAATATTTATAGAGTGATTTGATATGTCTATGAATGGAGGAGTTAACATGAGTATATAATGATTTGTGTTGATGAGTAATTGTTTGTTTTGGGATATATTTTTTGGCAGATGTAATGACAGTATGAGAAAAAATTTCCATACGGCGTTTAATGAGTTTAGAGAAGTAGCAATATACTCAATTGTACAATCTGCATAAAGTGGGTTTGATTTTAAAAGTAGATCAGCCTTGTCTGAGAAAAAATCCCAATGTAAGAATGTAGTCTTATGATATATGAATATTTGCTTTATGACTTTATGTTGTTTAAGATATGCATTAGAATATTGGTTAAAAATATTTTTTTTGAAAATGGTGATAGAAAGGGATAAATAATTAAAGGAGTATAAGAAGGATAAATCATTAAAAATGTTGAAAGATGAAAGGTCATGTGTAAGGTTGGAAGATAGAAATATATAATCTAAATATAAGTAATATGAATTTGAGGTAGATTTAAAGGTAACCGGATATGATGACAAAAAAGAGGTAATAATGTGAATAAAACCTAAATCAATGATTTGACAAAGATAGTTTTATAACACTCTTTGGCATTTAGAACAATAATTTTTTTAAATATCAATATTAAAATCTCCCATTAGGATAACATGAAAATTATTTCTGCGACTTTGTATTAGGATATCTATAAGCTTGTTTTGAATTTGTATTCTATAATTAAAGGATTTTTTGTCTTTGTAGGTAGCTGGTAAGTAGACTTAGATAATACGAAGTTTGAATTTCTTTCTGAATTGGAGGTCAATGTATAGTATTCTATCATAAAATTATTCCTGGTTAAAAATATGTCTGCACAGATCATTTTTAATAATTAGTCTTACTCCTTGGCAGTTAAAATCTCTATTTGCGCTGTAAAAGAAAAATTTGTACTGTTTGTTGTATTATTTTTGTTGAGAAAACAAGCTTGATTGTATGTAAGATGAGTTTCACTAAGTCCCATTATGTTAAAATTTAATTTTGTAAAGAAAGTTTCTATTTATTGTAACTTGTTATTAGCAGAACAGTTTCTAATATTATGGGTAATAATAGAAAAAAGTTTGAATTATTATGTAATGAAGAGGAAGAGGCATTTGTATTAAAATTACTATTATTAGTAGGATACGACGAAGTCATTTCTATGATATTATATGATTTATTATTATTAATTATTAGGATGAATTAATCATAAGTAAAGCTTAGTGTAATGCTAATAAGATTGATTTGAGTTCAGATCTGAGATTTTTAAGTTCTTTTCAACTTGTGTAATACGCGGAATAATAATTTCGTCTTTTTGTAGTATTCCAATATTGTCAATATTAGTATCTTTGACAGTATCATTAGGTGTATCTGCAAACAAAGGTTGTTTATCGTTTGTGAATCTGTCTTTGGGTGTATATTAAATTTGTTCATTACCTATGTTTATTGATAATTATTCCTCATCGTCGTCAGGAATTTGAGTAAATATCTCAAGTCTAAAAAAACGATAATCAATATCGCCTTGATTATGATATTATTGGAGAACTTCATGTTTAATAGAAATAATCTCATCAGAAAGAAGTACAAGTTTGTTGTCAATGTCATCTATCCTGGCTATTAAAGAGTGAATAGCATTGAATGTATTAAAAGAAATATTAGGGTTCCTATTAGTATTTCCTTTAAGAGGTAATGGTGTATTGTTAATGTTTGGCTTGGATTTAACAGCATTAGCATAAGAGAAATTATTCTAAAATTTTGAATTTTGATGAGGATGAGAAGGTCTATATTGTTCAGGTTTAAAGCGTTCATAAAGAGGCTTATAGGAATTAACAGGACCTCTTTTAGAGCAATCTTTGATTTCATGATCAGGTGGTCCACATTTTCTACAATGTTTATCTGCAGGATCTATCCAGTATAAAATATTTCCTTTGAATTTATGATATTGGGTGGCAGCAGCATCTAAATCTTTTGTGGTAGCAAAATTAATGAATGCATAGGGTCTTAGACAGTATTGTTGATCTCTTAAAATAAAGCATAATTTAGCTTTAATATGAGTTAAGAATTTTTGTAAGGAACGTTGATCAGTGTTTAATGGAAGGCCAGTAAGTTTGAGCTCAAATTGTTGACATAATGTGATTTGCATTAGGTCAAGGTCAGTAAGTTCTATTTTTAAAGTGAATTCTAAAAAGGAAACAGACCAAATATCATTATAAAATTGTTTAATAGCGTTATTGTTTTCATATATAATAAATGCAATTTGCCAGAGTTCCTAACAATCATAGAAATTCGGGTAATTATTTCAAATTTAGTAAAGAAATTTCATACAACTTCAGACTTCAAGAAAAGGAGAATGTCTAAAACTTTAATAATGTTACTTTTTTTAGCATTTAATTTTAATTGTTTGGCGTTAAGATCAGTAATCAGGAAGATTGGATTATGTTATGTCTCCTGTACCTTTGTGATAACATGTGTAAGATTATCTAAACTGTCAAAATAAATGATAAATTTTTTATTTTTAGAAAGATAGTTTGATCCTTGGAACTATTAAAGTACATGAAGAGTGCATTTATAAAATTTCGTTTTTCAGCTATAGATTTTTCTTTTATATCTGCCACATTGTCAGTGGTGTAAAATCTGGTAGACGCAGTAATAATGTTGAATTATCGATCGTTTGCGTTCTTGCTATTAAAAGTAGAAGCTTCAGCTTTGTTTATTTCTTCTGATCAAGTTTGTTTATTTTTCCCTTTAGAAGTAGAAGAAGAATTTGATAATTTTGATTCATCAGTGTTGTTTGTTTGTTTTGCATGCATAGAGTCCTTTGTAATTTAGAGAGGAACATTATAAACTTTTTCCATTAGAGTTAGAAGTCAAGGAAGTAACATGTCTATTTCTATGTCAAGAATATTGTTGTATCTTCTTTTTCAGTATTAGAAGGTGTTTGGTTATTGTTATCAGTGAACAAGATAATATTTTCAATAACTTTGTTAATAACTTTTGGAGAAGGAGTTTCCATAGTTTCTGTAGTTATTTTTTGTTTTTTATTGTTTGTGTTAGAAGTTTCTAATAAAGTTTATTTGTTTATCTTTACAAGAGAGCTAGTAAAATGTCTGGCACTGTTTTTTTGTTGAGTTCTTTTATTATTTTTTGGAACGTAAGAAGTGTTTTTGATATAATTATTTGCTCTAGTTTCTGGCATAATAGCTGTAGGTGAGAGTTGGTGTCGATTCTTATCCAAATCTAATTATTCGATCCTGAAATATTTAATAAACTGAAAGCAATTATTTTGAAATTCATCACGGAAGAATTTTTACTAAGTGTGAATACCAGAACTGAAGCAAAAGGAACTATCCAAAAAGTAATGATTCCTTTCAAGCACTAATTTCACCATCTGGAAACCTAATGGGGGTGAGAAAATTATATATAATATGTAAGAAAATAGAGTAATCTATAAGTGTTCAAAATTAATTATTTAAACTGCGAATTCTTGAAATCCTTGAAATGATACACTCTTGTGATCTAAAGGCCATAGAAATGCCAATCCAAGATAACCAGATTCAGCAGTAAAAGAACTTCAATATAAGTTAATATTTATTAAATTAGATCACTAGAAGCTAAAATAGCTTTGAAAGTTGATAAGATCTAGTGCTCCAAAAGGGTCAGGTCAGACCCAGGTGATCGACCCGACCCGGATTTTAAATCGAGTCAGGGTTGGTAATTTTAATGACCTGTGACCCGCATGATCCAACCCGTCGGGTAAGGTCGTACTGTTGCTTTGATCCAGAACAACTCAGGTGACCCGAGATGACGTTATGATGATGTAATGCATATTTTTTTCCCACACGAAAAGTTTTTTTACGCTAAATTTTAGTTTCGTTTGTCACGTATTTTTCCCACACAAAAATTTTTTTTTTACGCACTAAATTTTAGCTTTGTTTGTGACTTATATATATAAAAAATATAAATATGTCTGAAATTATTGACCTTATTGAACCAGTATCTCAACTTGGAAAACAAAGAAGTTTGCGTAGTAAACTCTTTATTAATAATCTTTTTGAGAGAAAGACCTTCCATTAGAGCATAAAAATGCGAAAACACACTGTGAAGTTAAGTGTCTTAACTGTCCGTAAGTAAATAATTTTTAAAATAGAAAGTTTTAATTGAAAATATATACTTAA